ATTTCACCCGACTTGACTTATAATCCGATGCGGTGACTCTGTTGAGAAACCCAACGATTTCAAAATTTGTGCAAACTGCACTTTTATCAAAAGAGTTCCTAATATACACATGTAAGTAGATCAAATTTCCTGTAATCAATAATAATGTTATGGCTCAAGGTATACGTTCAAAACTGTGGACTTAACTAAGTGTTTTATGTAACACAAATTTGTTGAAAAATTGCTAGTTAGATTCCATTAAAAATTGTTTTTGATTCCAGAAACTCTGAGAAAATATCCAGTACTACCATTTCTGGATAGAACTTGCTTGCGTGATTATAAAGTAGAAAATTCAGATCTCGTCATCGAGAAAGATTTGGATGTTTACATTCCAATGTTTGCATTACATTACAATCCTGAATTTTTTCCCCAACCTCAGAAATACGATCCACAGAGATTTGCGGACAAATGCAAAATCAATAACGAAGGACTGTATTATGTTCCTTTTGGTGATGGGCCTAGAATATGTATTGGTAAGTGAAATCATACTAATATATGTATATTATTTAAGGCTTTCTGAAGATCTTTATATTAAACTAATTAGAATAATTCTCGCAGGCAATAGGTTTGGGTTGTTGGCTGTAAAAATTGGTTTGGTAAGTTTATTATCTAGATATAAGCTGGAAGCAACATCTCAAACTCCAAGGCCAATAAAATTCGAACCAAAAGCCCTGATTCTACAATCTAATGTGGGCGTACCTTTGAAATTTGTACCAATTTGATTTATTATAAAATATAGTAACATTTGAGGGTTAAAATGTATTGGCTATTTGTACTCTTCAAAAAGATCCTTCATGTATGGAGTAATGCATTAAATAAAGAGAAACCCATATTTAAAATTAGTGTTTCCAATTGGTTTATTCCAAACCCATCGGAATGCGTTACGGCGTCGTTATGTCCATAGAACAAGGCATAGGTTATGTCTGGCATTGATACGGACAAGTACGCAGTTCCTTCTCGCACGCATACAGCCGCCCAGCAGTAGGCGCTATTAACGTTCCATTAGAGCCCTTTCACACGGGCCACTCTGCAGCGCTTCTCAGTGGCGCTGTTGAGAAGCACGTTTTGAAGGTATATTGATTTACATGGAGCTATTCACACGGGCGCGAGCAAGGCCCGAACACCGATTTACCAGCGCTTCTGTGGCGTTCAGTGGTTGACTACCGCCGAGAAGCGCTTCAAAGAGAATGAAATGGATTTTGAATAACTAATAAGTGCAACTTTCTCTCTTCTCCAATTCCAATTCTCCAAATTCTTTTTGTCTTGCTACTTTATCAGCAACCCAGTATTTTTTTTATTTTGAACTGTAATCGCCTTCTCATAAGATAACTATTTTCCAAAAGTAAATCATCCATTATCATTAACAGTTGTATAATTACGCTGATTATTATATAATTGCCTTGTATAAATGTGCGGGTTAGATACATAACAACATATGACCAATTCGGCCGATAAAAAAACTTGCAGTGGACGATATCCTCAAATGCAAAATCTGACTAAAGCGATCCAAAAGACGTCCTACCAAAGACGAACGGCTTAAGGTTTCATTTCACTAACATTGGTTTGTGCAAATTCCTACGAATGATTTCGGATCCAATGGACGAGCTTCAGTCCGTTCCAATGAAGTTGGATCATTTACTGCTTTTCGCACGATGTCTGACGAAACCAGTTCGGATGAAAACGCATCCAACTGACACCGCCCACAGACTACACATTATTATATTTTACGACCGACCTAATGGAACATTAACGTTTGCGAGCGCCTATGCGCGAGCGAGAAAGAACTGCGTAATTGTCTTTATCTATGACAGACCTAATGTCACCGTAAGGCATTCCATTCAACTCGCTCCATTACGCCATAAGAAGTTATCACTTCAAAAACAAGAACATGTTTTAGATGTGTCACAAGCCCCGATAAGGAAAGGACGGGAGCATTGAAATTATTATGTTAACCATTATTCATCATGTTCCTACAAGTCTCCTAAGAAAGATATGACATTTACAGTTGGATAATCTAGAAGAGTTAGTTATAACCATAAGTTGCATGAGATTCGAAAAACACCGTCCTAAATTCAGTTACGTGCAACCAGTTTGTACTTGATGATTCACTATTTTCCAGTCCCGTACTTTTACCGTACTAAAATTTTCAAGTTCCCGGACAAACGTAAATTATTACTGTTACAAACACATTTTTCATGAAATTTGACCCTTTCATACCGAATTTCCACTGTCAGGTGTCACAAATTTTGCAATCATTTGGCAACAAATGAGTTAGCATTTGAGCTAATCTTTGCATCTGCGGCGCAAATTGATTTGGATACACATTCAAATCGGGGGTGCTTCAACTGACTCCTTGTAGTATCTGGAAAACAGATTTTCCACTAGAATATCATAAATAACGGTAAAGTTGAACCAAACTATTTACAACGGGGCAGTAACTTTTAACTATTTTCAAAAGAAGCGGCTTTGACTGTAATTATATGGCTAATTTCATATTTTTTTCATTATATCACTTTGTTGGTACAGGTGAAAAATAAAGCGTCGACCTAAAGAATTACTAGCCACTAAATATGAGATTTGCTTGAAACATTTCAAAATGGCTCTATTTGGTTGAATACAAACATTTCAAATTTCGTTTTAAGTATGTGTTGTGCGCAAAAAAATGTTTCTATTGGGATGCAATGGAGCCTTTGCAAAATATCTCATCAGAAAATAAATTATGTTAGGAACATTTTCGAGATATGCATGTATTATAAACTTCATTGTATGACGTCGAAAATTTTGAAACTTTTTTGAATTGTGATCTTCTTGTTCTTCAAGTGACGTGTCCTCATAGCACAGCATTGCAATTGCATGAGCAACATTTATGATCAGTCGCATGATGTTCACTTTTCTGGCAGGTGACCTAAAGAGTGTCGTGGTGCTTAACCCATACCATTGGCGGAAATTCTTGACCCAAGTTGTTCTTCGGCGACCAGGACCACGATTTTCCTTCTATTTTTCCTTGAATAATAATATGGAGCAATTCATATTTCGGATTTCTCATTACGTGGGAAAAGTACTCCAGCATTCTTCTTTTTATGGTGAATCTAATTGAAACTGAATACATCGCACATCCTAACACTGGTAGCATTAGGTATTTGATGAAATCGAATTGCATTTTGATAATTAATTAAATATATTTGAATGACAATATTCTCTTTTAATGCGCGTCATGGTGAGCTATTTCCAATATACTTTATTTAAATATGTATTGTTGAATCCACGGTAAATATGGTGCTACCCGTGTATATACTCCGGGAACATTCACTTGGCCGCACTGTAAGCCAACTGAAGTTATGCCAATAAGGTACCATTTGTTGTTCTTGCGAATTTGAAGTGGGCCGCCAGAATCATAATTGGATAATTAGTACAATTAGTGGAAATAATCTTAGTATTTTAAGCAACATTAAATACAAATTTGGATAAGGGCTGTTGATTGACTATTGTGTTTTGAGTTGTATGTTGTACAGCAAAGGCTCTACCTTTTTGTGTTTTTATTTGTTTTTTGCTTATTTCATATTACATAAATTGTAAAAAATTATTTCGGTCCAATTTTTGATTAATTAACTAACCTGAATTAACTGATACTAGAAATTGCATGTATAGGGTGTTCCCAATAAAGTGTGCACTTTGTAACTTCTTTATTCTTACCTATAGTTTCGGTGTCGATTAAATTAGGAATTTAATGAACTTTCTTTCGCGAATTAAAAACGGAAAAATCCAAGGACTTACTCTACTTGATGCTATTAGAATTTCTTTTCAGTTTTTTGAAACGTAACCGTGCTTACTTTTAACCTTGTATCTTTTTCCGCCTTAAATATCATATTATATCTTCTGACGAAAATAAAAACAAACCATATGTACAAAATGTAATACAAATATACACGTCAATGTACATATATAAAATCGATTTTATAAGTTCCGTCGTCTTCCGGTGCCCAATCAATACTCGTTTCTGTTCAGAACTGTTACTGTTGTAAATCGTACAGCATTTTCTGTGTTCTGTCTTCGATTGGCCAGACTTACTGGCTACTGAACTGTACGTAACAATACTTTCGACGACGGAGTTGTATATGAGCTTTTTGTTCTGTTTAGATATATTCAAGTCCTAGAGTATTCCATTTATTAGAGTTATCGCTTTTCTTCCTTGCACATTTCAGTTTTTTATGGCTCTTGTGTCTAGTGGTTCGTCCGCTGTTGTTTTAAGCCCTAAGTATTTATACTTGCCACAATTCTTAATTTGCTGTCCCGTATTTAACGCTAGACCTTGTTTTGTTTCACCAATTCACACATACTCTGTCTTTTTTATATTGACCTCCAAAGCCCATTTTTTGTATTCTTCTATCAGTTCTCGAGTCATATATTCCAAGTCGTCATATTCCTGGGTTACTGCAATTTGATCGTCGACGAAACATAAGGTGTATAAACAGAGATTAGTAGACCTACTAATCTCTGGTATAAAATGGTTTCATTTAATATAATTTTGGCATTTTCTTTTCCATACTTTAAGGACTGGTTTTAAATAATTCTTAAAGAGCATTGGCGAAATACATCAACCTTGCTTTAGACCTTAATTCACTTAAAACCCTTTTATTAGCCTCTGTTTTATTTTGACTTTTTTAAAACTTTTTAATTGCTTTAATTAACTGAGCGCTTATGTGTGTATTCTCCAAAGCCTTCCAAAGTAAATTAAGTGGTACGCTGTCGTATACTTTTCGTCAGTCTACGTATAGTAAATGCAATTCTTGTCCATACTCCATTTTATTTT